ACCTGTTCGTAAGCATGGACAACTCCGTATACAAATAACTCCTTTGGTCCTCCAGGATCTGGAAGGCCTAAGGAGTTAAAAAGAGATCCTGCAGGGGATCCTGCAAGGAGTTGAAAGTTAACAAATTCTGGCAAGGCTTCGAATTCGTTAGCAGACAAAGCTAACAAACTCAATCTGTGCCTCTTCGGTTTAACATTGTTGTGTATTCTACATGTACATAGTTTAACTCAAACACCTGATTTGGTTTTTAGGACAAGGAGTTAGGCGTAGTTTCACCTTGCATGCTACACATCATTAATCCACTTTACATCTTTGTTAAGTCGTAAAGCTGATGAAACTTACACCCAAAGCTAGCTTATACAAACGAAGTAGCCAGCCATGGTAATTTATGTTGAAAAAGGTTTTTAAACTTGACCTTCAGAGAAATGACTCGAGGATAGGATGAATACATGTACATCCACATACATAAGTTAGCTAGGCACACCCAACGGAAGTTGAAAGTTAAAATCTCCATTGCACCCCCTCCCCCAAATGCTTTTTTATATTTACCCTTATTTATTGATCTCAGGGATAAGAAAGTCAGATTTTTTTCCCTCCAATTTTGGCCCTGACATCATACCTGACACTTACATCAATTACAACCCGAATGCAGTATGTACATGTATGTTGCGAAATTCAATAGCTTATACATGTAAAATGATGCACATGTAATGTACATTGATGCTGCAACTTGCTGAATAGTCTTAATTTGGGCCTTGAGGTTGTTCATGTTTGGTGTAAGGGATGCGGACATTTTGAAATTGAATTTAAATATTTCAGTTGTCTTTACCTGTTCACAGCTTTCTTCCGCAGCATAGTTTGATGTTTGATTTAATGGGCTTCAGTAGTTGCTTCAGTTGATTTGAAATTTATTATTTGGATTTGTTTGCATGTTTCGTTTGTCACAAATTGTGTTTTTTTATTTGTGCTTGTCATAAACAGGTATTTCTTTTAAGTCTACTGGTGAGTACATGTAAAGTTGTCTTTGTGGCTTTTTGGGTGTGCTACTGCAGTTAAATGCTCCATAGCTGTAGACTGTAACTCAGTTTTGTACATAAATTAACATTTAGCACTTTTGCACAGCTTGCATAGCCATTTTGTAGTCTGCGTTTTTGTTACAAGCCAGCTATTTATGTATGCAGGTTTTAATTTGATTTCCATTGTGATCTGCCATTAATTTAAAAAGGCTTGTTTTTGCAGCTCTGGTTTTACCTATTATAATTTGCCCACCAATTGTGAACTTAAAAGGGCTGTGACTATAGTTATGACGAATATGGCCGCCTTAACCTGTCCAATTCATCCTTGATAAATGACAATTTCATGTGGCAGCCATTTGTAAATGTCAACTCGATGGTTAAACAAANATTGAATTGCCTAGACACTGGATGGCATCACTACATGGTACCATGTACACAGGCTGAAGGATGTTCCTCTCTCAGGACGATGCCTGAATTTGTGCGCATGAAGATGAAAATTAGTCAAGCATTTTATACGGGTAATCCCAGAAATTAGAGGTCCATTTTTTCCATGTCCCTGTCACATCTGACATTTGATTTTGTAAGTTCAGAACACATTTTCTAATTTCCAAGAGTGATGAATTAATGCAAATTACCTGTCAAACAAATACATGTAGTAATAGTTTGAAATCAATTCCGGTGATATTTCCATGTCAAATATCAAAGGTCAAATAACAAAGGTCAGATGTAACAGGGACATGAAAATGTCACACTTTGGGATCCCTAATTTCTGGAATTACCCATGTACATGTACATGTACACCCCCAATCACAGAAAGCAGTGGGCACATGCACTTTGTCTGATTTCAAACAAGAGGTCTTACATGTACCGGTACATGTAGACTGCACTGAGGGTAACAGTGCCTGCACAGACTTCACAGATGGTGCAGGGTGTGCATGCAGTGTAACACATTTTCTGGCTTGTCTTGCATTGTGTACAGTACAGTGTAGGTTACACATGCCTTTTTACAAGAAAGCCCACAGAGTTGGCCTGAACTGCTCGTCAGCTTGTCAAGTTTGTTTTCTGTGGGCAGATTTGTTTCTTGTTTATTTCCTCTTGGACACATGTCAGTACACACCACATGTAAATCTTCCATGCAGTTTTGCACATTGTAAGTTTTCATAAATGTCTCACAAGGTGCCTTACGTGTAGATTTCACCGTGTTTTCTTTGAGAGCTTCCTTGTAAAGGTAGATAGAGTCACATAGAAGAAATCAAATGCTCACGTAAAAATCTTTACGTGATGTTTGACAAAGGAGACAGGTGCTTTGAAAATACATGTAAGCCATCCACACAGATCACTCATATGAACTAATTTGGCATTGACCTGCCAGGGTCACGTTCTCTCTGCCTCATGCTTTTGCAGTGTATGATGTTTTGTTGACCCTCATCTAGTGATGAAATTTCCTGTACAAAAGTACTTGTAAATGAAATGTTTTCATTTGGTTACAAAGATGCTCCCGATAGTGGAGGTAACCAGAGCAACGGTAAGGGCAAGGCATCATCATCAGGCATCCCAGCTCACAAGGCTGCAGGCAAGAACCAGGCCACGTCACAAGACACCGACGGCGACATCTTCATCGAAGCTACTGTCTGCAAAGTTGACGATCTCAAGGATGGAGAGTACGTAAGCAGACTTGCTGGAAGCGGCTGCATGCATTGGCGTTCAAGATTGCCATAGGTCGTTGACTTACATGTACGAGGTCTTTTTTGCTGTTCACAGATGTGCTGGCTGATAACGAGAAAAACAAAAGATTGGTGTTTATGTCTGCTAGGTCTTGGAAGTAATGAAAAACCAAGTGGTTTATTGATATGTCACTGACAATATTCTAAGCATCGATTAAAGTTAATCTTGGCTTTAACTGCGTTTGAGCACAGGTTAAGCTGGACAAAACTAACTGGCTTTTAGAAGCAGACACTGGTACACAGTCACATAGCTGGTACCCGGAACCTTGATTTGTTAGTAAGTACATGTACATGCACAGTACATGAAACAGTACATGTACAGTACATGAAAAAATTGCACAAGTTTGTTGAGACCAAGAGTAGCAGATAGAGAGGGAACCGGTTGAAAATGTGACAGTGCATTCCAGCAAGGCAAGACACTGGTACGCCGTCCCTTGTTTAAAATTACTAGCTTGTGTTTCACAGGATGCGCGAGGTTGAAGTGGGACAGGGGAAGGCCCTCCTGATCAATCAGCTAGGAGAGTTCAGTGCTATTGGTCACAAGTGCACACACTATGGAGCACCGCTCATTAAAGGTTTGGCCAATTGACAAGCTTGTATCTATAAGTACAGTCTTGCCATCCCATGATATTGTTTCCATACATCAAAGGATCTCCTTCACTCTTACTATAGAATTAAAATGCCCAACTATTTATGATGTTTAAGCAAATCACAGTGTGCAATTTGCAATTGTGGTTTTCCATTTCCAAATGTTCCATTTTCTGTAACCGTCAAAAACTCCTTCCACTTCCCCCGTACAGTACATACATGTATGTAGACATATCACATGTCACTTGACTGCTTTTGACGGGACAACTGTGTTGAGAATGCACCTTTGCATAGGAGGGTTTTAATATGTACATGTAACAACATGTACCTTATGTCACATACATGTAATTATGTAGTTTATAAATTTTCATGGACTTCAGCTATGAACAAATGAAGTCCTTGGTTTCCAGTCTGTAGTAGCCTCCTTCACAAAAAAATGAACAGTTTAAAATGTCTTTTAAGATGAGGGAACATAAAGACAACATAAAGAAAAACAAAATTGAAAGGGATCCGTCGAATTGGTTTTGACTTGGAATCCAGTGAAGTTAATGCTTAGGCAACTGACATAAACTTGTGCATAATTTTAGGCCACGCCCAGATAATTCATACACAGCCTTAGTTAATTTGTCTTTTACAGAAAGGAAGAGATCAGGCTTATTCTTAATTGTCATTGTCTTCAGTACATTGTTTATTGTCTTGGTTCATGCAGGTGTACTGAGTAATGGACGTGTGCGGTGCCCATGGCATGGGGCTTGCTTCAATGCCAAGACGGGAGACATAGAGGACTTCCCTGGATTGGATAGTGTCGCCAAGTTCGAGGTAGTTTTCGTGTCGGGTTCTACCCTCCGCTGTTAAAGAATTGTACATGTATGTACAGTTCATTCTGAGAAGACTGGAAAAGTGGTCACACAAATAAAACTCTTTTGGACTTGAATTCAGGGGCGTAACGAAGACATTTTTTGGGGGTGGGGTGTGCCAGAGTCAATTTGCCGGCTTGTAACTTGTTTGCCAACCTCATGTTGTATAAAATTCACAAGTGCAGAAAATGGAAATCTGTGGTGTGCTACGTTTCATGCATCAGGGGAAATGCCGACGGCCAACGTACATGTTGTATGTATCAATGTTGGATTCATTTGCCGACCAAAGCTCTACTTGCCGACTGGAATCAATTATTGGGGGATGCCACACCTCCCCACACACCCCCAGTCACTACGCCTCTGCTTGAATTAAAGACCTCCTGCATTACTTAAGTGCTGCTAGAAAATACTCGAAAATATGTCATTGTGATGATAATGACCTCTGTGCAATACCTTTTAAGTTGGGTGATTTTTAATTGTAAATTTCAGGTCAGAGTAGACGGTGAAGATGTCATTGTCAAGTCGAGAAAGAAGGTAAGATACAAGCATTTTTTTCTCGTACATCACCAAGTTACAAGATGCTTGTTAACATTGATGGATACTGAGAAAACTGGCCTGACTCCCCTTTCCTTCATCCAATCCCAACTCATGTTTTGAGGTAGTTACGTCCCTTCATTTTAGGTGCATTCAAACATGTCAAATGAGAGGCCGCTAAACATATGAAACCAACACACAATACCCTTAAATTGGTTTTAGAAGTAAGGGATATCCCCACTCATATTGTCTCAACACAACATTGACTGAAGTGAGTTTTGAACCTGCCTCTTGGGTGCAATACTATGAAGCAAACTGCTATAGATGACCCTTTAGTGTAGCCTTTCATAACGTTACAATTACACACACACACACACACTGATGCCTTATTTTTTAAGAAATTCACCAGTACTGTGGGCTTATTTACAGGCTTTAGCATCGCACAAGCGCATCAAAGACATGTCTTGCAGATCACCAGACAGCGACAAGACTATTCTCATCATCGGTGGAGGTAAGATCTTTAACTGTAACAGCCATGATAATAATAAAAGCCTTTATTAGGGCACTCGGATGTACATGTGGGTAACCAAATGACCCACGCTCACTGATGACAACAGCGAACTCTACTCAGAATGAGTCTGTGTCAGCACCCTGTGAACACTCCTGAGTTTTGTAGCCCAGAGAAGAATCAGATGTGCCAATCTAGAAGCCAGATGAGCCACACAACCCCCCCTGCTTCCTCCCACTGACATTAGGCATGATAACAAAGCTTCACAGCAACATTGTCATCATAGAGGTCTGCAGAAATTTAACATGCTCATCTGTGCCAACTGCTTACCAACTCTCATGAATTGATCCTTGCCGTAGTCAGACAACTGTGCGCTCGCTAAGCACAGTGCTGCGGGACCCCCTTGTAGTAAAGTGCAGACCAAATTTTTAAACAAATTGATGACAATTTCCTCAACCCAGACCCTACATAAATGACTGTTGTGTGTTACAGTTGAAAAGAAAAAAATTCACCATACTTTCCCGTATTTAGAATGAGCGCAGCCCAGCATATCAGTGCTGTCTCACCTATGCAGCGAGGTCTTGCTAGTGTGTGAATGTATTGCTGATCATTTGTACACAAGTGTTCAATTGCCAACTATTCAAGATGCCAATGGTAACCATGAGCAGATTTTTGAGAATCATATGAGCCAGACAAAGTAGAACTTCATGACCAAAACTGCAGACTTGTTCAATATTTTCATTTCTCCGCAGGTGGTGCAGCAGCCACGTGTGCAGAGACTCTGAGGCAAGAAGGGTTCAAAGGTCACATTGTCATGGCAACTAAGGAAAAGCATCTACCTTATGACAGGCCCAAACTCAGTAAGGTGAGCAGAGGGGATGACGTGGTGTTGTGGAAACAATATGTTGCCTTTTTGTCAAGTATTTAAACAGTTTCCTCCCTAGAAGAAGTGGAAAATTTGAAAGAAAAGATGAAAACTATTGAAGAAAACATTAACCCAAGCTAGCGGGTCAAGTACTGAACAGATCAGAAGTTGGCATTTTGTTTGAGCGTATTCCACATGGATGTTTCTAAAGTTGTCTTGTTCATTTGTTGCATAGTTGGTCAGGTTACGTTACTTTAGTGTGCTAAAGAGTTATGTGGATTTAGTATTAGAATGATTTAAATTAAGTTAGGCTTGCAGTCGCATCATATACACGGAAGAATCTCTTTATAAATGAGTGTGTGGTTCTGAGAAGAACCGATCGTGATAAAAGAGATTCTACCTCGTACATGGTGCAACCACAAGCCTAACCTAATTTAGTACTTCCGCCATGCATCGCTTCAAGTCTTCGAATGATTTACTTGTTGAATGTACATGAAGTGCCCAGTGCAGTGAGATTTGGATTGTCAGCTTCAAAACAAATCCCCTTTGACAGATGCAGTCATGACTAGTAATGCGATGGCGGTGGCAGTGGAATGACTTAAATAATCACATTGCCCAAACTTTGATCCTTTTGGTGTTTGTATAGTTTGAATAAAATGTAGTGCCAAGGTCCGGTCTGGGAAAATGAGTAAAGTTATGAACAGAATCTTAAAAATGAAACTTGTCAAAGCCTGAAGTATGAAATGAAAAAGTCAAGGATTTCTCCAATTTAACTTTTGTTATCCCTGATGCAATCTGCTCATTGTTTCATGATCTGTC